CCGTTTCCTTTCATTATGCAATACACATAACAGAGGTAAAAATGTTCCTCACAGAAGTTCGGGCAACACGTGAACTAATAAACTTAAAAATTTGCTTTTGAGGCTGATAAGCTGGCCAGAAAAAATGAACAGAAAAACCTAAACTAAAGATTTATTAAAGGAGCACAAGCACTCCGCTGAACTATCAGAATGACAATCTTAATCAGCAGTGACATCATAGATGATGCACAACTCATTCAGGGCCACATTTCAAGGCATATTGTATTGCCTATTTGCTTTTAGTTGCCTAGAGAGGACCATCTAAGCACTTTACGGCTTTATCATATTTGAGCATCTGCAATGCCAGATACACATGTCATCGTTTAACCCCTTTATCTCATCGCTCATGACTAAAGGTATTTCAGAAGCTTTCAGAAGTTTCTTATATACTATCTCAGTGGCACTACAGCACGCTATGTGCGTACTGTATCAAATGAGGTTGGGTAGCGTAAGAATGCAACTGTTAAGATTAGGCTAGAGGAGGAATGTAAAGAATCAGGCGAATAATATAAATAATTTCGTTAACAGAGGATTCTTTCTAGCGAGTGAGAAACTTTGACAGCTGATTTTAACTTGGTTAACTCAGTGGAAACAGTTGTCGAATACTGATTACGAGGTCAGCAAATTACTTCTACATATTTGTGAGGCACAAATGTACCGTTCTCCCTTACCAGTAGAGGTTATCGCTCTTGCATGTATTTTAGAGGCAAGTATTGTGCATGAAAAGCCGTTTTTAAAAAAGCGCTTATCGTTTCTAAAATTTGATCATGCGGTATCTTTTGAAGTTCACTTTAATACGATACGTAAGTTGTAAACTTCATCAGAAAAAAATATCGTTTGCCACATCAGCATTTCTTATTTCACTCTTAGATGAAGTCTTCTCCAAGACTTGGCCATAAACTTCAATTTTCCTTGATTCTAATCCATCTTAAACCGATTAAATTTTTCAGCTCATTAACTCACCAGAACTCCGCCATGGCCGGTCCCAAGCCCGGATGAGAAAGGAGGAGGGTTGGAGACCGTGGCAAGTCTC